GTTGCAGAAGGAGGGAGGATGAGAACAGTCACCTCCCTCTGCTTGGTTACTTCTTCCTTATTGCGCCTCGGACAGTGTTCATAGTTGAGCGTTGTTTACCGTTAATTGCTATGTTTAATTGTGCAGACAGTTGTGGTTTCTGACATGGGCAATTTGGGCAACCGTCCAGGGCATTATCTTTTTAGGGATGGCAGGAGACCACCACGGATTGTAGCACAGAGATGAGAACAAAGCAGAATGAAGAAAAGTTTGAATTGATACTGGTTAATTTATTTCAGCTCTAAGTATTTAATATGTAGGAGTTTTTATGTGAATGTGGACCTTTCAGATCAATTTGAGAACTAATTTTGATAGGTACACTTAATTTTATTGTGTCATGTAGCGCGGGGTGCTGGTCTTGGTCTTGACTTGGTCTCGGGTTCGGTGGTCTTGACTACAACACTGCTATGTGGGTTCTTGGTTGCATGTCCTCCCCCAGCTTTCTGTTGGTTTTCTTTCAAAATAAAAGCCACTAGTGGCAAAAAAGGTGAAGTTCATCCTATGTTAGGACAGGAGACAAGATGTTTCCATCCCTGAAATTATGATGCATAGAATCACATATCTAAGTCTAAACTATGTTACAGAGAGTAAACATAATAAAAACATGCTTTATCTGTGGCATTGTTCATTAAAATGGCACATTTCTGATATATTAAAATTAAATACGATCAGTTCACTTAATGATATTAGCGATTAGGTTATGCATTCAGCAAGTACTTTTACTTTTAATACTTAAGTATTTTTAAAAGCCAGTACTTTTTTACTTTTACTTAAGTACAAATGTTAATGTGGTGGTTTTGCTTTTACTTGGGTACATTTTTGTCTGTGTATTTGTACTTTTACTTAAGTACATATTTTGAGTACTTTCTCCACCACTGCCACTGACAACCTGCTACATTTGCGGTCTAGACATAATGTCCCATTATTTAACATCATTCACTTGACGTATATTAGAATCAAACAACTGCACCTACAATCAGGCCACCAGAATTGCTATTGAGGATGAGAGAATATCTGACTAAACCCTTTTCTAAAGAACATGAAGGACACCTGCAGACTGGGCCGTAAAGCTGCTACAGAACTAGTTGCATTTAAAAGCATCAGCCAGGCTAACAGATTCACTCTCTGGCTACACATTAGGTAAACCTAACAGGATTTTGGAGCTCATGGCACATTGATCATCATTCATTCATGTTGCAGTTCAATTTGAGGCTCAATCAACCAAATAACGTTTTTCAATCTGCTATTGTCCAGTTTTGGTGAGCTTGTAGGAATTGTAGGAGTGCTCAGCTGATAGGAGTGGTACCCAGTGTATGCTGCTGTAATTCATCTGCTTCATGACTTAACAGGTTGGATGGTATTTGCCATATATTGGAAGTAGTGGGCAGTTTTTGAGCTACCTTTGCCTATCCATTGTCCTGCACCAATGTCTTCATTCTCAGCTGACACCAACAAGGCACACATGTTCCAGACTTTCTTTGTGAACATTTTCTCTGTGAACTGATACAACTGCGCGTGAAAATCCCACCAGCTCACCAGTTTCTGAAACCCTCAGACCAGCTGGTCTGGCGCCAACAGCCACAGGTGATTTCCTTTAAGAAGTAACTGAATAAGTGATCAGTAAGTCTTAAATATATCAGTATCTTTTTCATTATTTTAAATAGAAGGTAGTTGGTATCATAGATATAAATACAATATTTAACAGTTAGATTTGGATTTAAGATTTAGATTTGCTAAACATACATGCCCATGGTGTCTATGACAGCTTAGACACCATGGAACATATCTGAATCAACAAACAGCTGGGCTAGACTGAGAATCATCTTTACCTGCTCAACCACAACCTTCAGATAAAAAGAAAATGCTAACTCTCATGGGTGCTGTTAGATCAATCAATCAATCAATCAATCAATGTGTACGATGTTATTTAAAGACCATCTTACACATCTAGTGACCAAAGTGCTGAACAGAAAACATTAATCTGATTAATCAATCAGACTAAAGACAGAAAAAATAAATATAGCATTAATGAAAAGCACAGCCCGACAATATTTGCTCAACTGGAATAAAAAGCTACCTTGAAAAGATGAGGATTTAAAAAATCCTTAAAAACATTCAAAGTGTCTTGACTTGTAGTGTTGTAGAAGAGCAGCAGCACTCAGATCAAGCGTGAGGTAGAAAAACTTCCTTCTTTAATATCAAACTATCAGCAGGATCTGACACAATTTGTTGAGAACAGGTAGCACAGAAAACTGAATGTCCAAGACTCAGATAAACTCACACAACTGTTAAGGTCCCAACAAAGACAGAGCACAACACTAGAGGTTAAAAACATGCAGGAACAATGAAGGAACATGACAGAGCGGGTACAATCAAAGGTACAACATGATAACACTGGGACTAATTAACCAATAAAGGGAAAAACATGACACCAGATGACTGAATTAATTGATCAACCTGTGCTAGAAAACCATAATCCTCACACAAAATATTAGACATTCTCACAAAAAAGAGAGATAGTTCCAGAGTTCTGGAGCAACAACACAACAACACACTCTGGTCACAAGATGAATCCTGTCCAGAAGCCACTGGTGTGTCTTCTTCTGGAAACATGCTTGTTTATAAGTTCTATTAAATAAAAAAAAATGCCTGATCATTTATAAGTTTAAATATCAAATGAAAAATCTTAAAATAAAACATACAGGCAGCCAGTGCAGAGCAGACAATCTCAGGGTAATGTGAAATACTAAACCATAACTAGGTGGTGTTTCTCTATATATGAATTTACGAAGGCCTTAAGATCATGCAGCATGCAGAAATGCCCTTAACCTACTTAGTGTGATACATGCCAATCACAGCATACTTACCAGACTGCCAGGGCGACCCCTCTCCCCCTTCTCACACCTACAGTTCTTTGGCTGTGGGCACTGAAATAAAGATACAGAGAACACATCTTAACTGACACACTGTAAATATATAGTAATCAAAGATGCAAATAGTCTCTGACTGAAAAATATGTATAATCTGAGAGCTAATGTTACTTACCCCTGTTGTAACAACTGTGTTCTGCAAGAAGGAAAAAATCAGTCTCTAAATATCTGTCCTTTAAAAATGGAAATATGAATAAAATCATAGTACTCGTGATGGAACAAGAGCAGAGCTGGACCTCTCCACCACAGCAACTTTACTCACTATTTCACTGAAGAGTTTTTCATCAAGCTGGCTGTCAGAGAGACTGAGCACATGCTGCTGTGGGGGGGCACTGGCAATGGATCGTAGCTGTGTTCCCATGGTATCTGGGTTGGGCTGTGCAGACAGCCTGATGGTGAACACCCTGATGTTGTGCTGTTTGGCCTCTGCAGCTGCTGTGATGGCACTGGGGCTGCGAGGGTGGTCTCTTCCGTCCGTCATGAGCAGCGCCACCTTGAGACCACTGGGGGATGTCTCCTGCCTGAATACCTTGGTGGCATTGGTGATGGCATAGGCAGAGTATGACCCATGGCCAATGAAAGTCATTGAGGCCACCCGACTCTGGAAGACGTCCATGTCCTGCCAGTCTCTGAAGTTATGCTCTACTGATACTTTGCTGCTGTACTGCAGGGCAGCGAGGCGCAGGCGCAGACGCCAGCCTGCAGGCTGAAGCTGCATGAGCTTGGTGCTGAAGCGCAGGATGAACGTCTTCTGCTGCTCAAACAGCACAGGTTGGGCATTCTCTGTACTGTCCACTATGAACATGATTTCCACTGGGCAGACCAAGGCTAGCCAGAGAGAAAACAGTCTTATTACATTTGAATAGTACTGAAACAATCACCTTCGGCAGATGAAACCAGGATTTGGAAAAGATCCAAAAATCTTACACGAAATAATGTGGTAGCATGTGAAGCACATAACCACAGAAGATAAACAGAATTACATATCTCTGGAAATGTCTCCAAAATCCAATTTTTTTTTTTTTTTTTTTTTGCTGTCAGTTCAAAACACTGCTTGAGACTGTGTGAAACATAGCCACCCAAATGAGATGGTGAGGGAAAGGAAATGCTGTCACACACAAACTTCAATAACACTTCTGGTAGCTGCCAACTTCACTAAATCCTTCGCTCTATGGGCCAAACATTACAATTTGGACCAATAAGTAATGCTTTTCTTTCTCTGCAACAAAAACTTTCTGTGTGTCTTTTGGTCCATTGCTGGGCCGCATTCAAAGTGGACATTAAGATCAAGTGGAGATCATTACGTCCCCACAGTTCGAGTGGAAAATGTGCGGGATCTAATGGTACTGTGTGAAGCATTTTGTAATTTGTCATTATTAATCTAAGGAAACAGATATGTTTGGGTTTCCTCAAGTCTGTGTTTTGGAGCAATGTTTGTTCATTGTTTATACTCCATTTAGCTCGGAATATTACAGCGTCTTCCATGTGAACACTTTCACAAAATTGCTGGTGGCCCTCTATTAATGACTGAAAAACCTACAACAGTCACTGAAATAACTTTAAACTGAATAAATATAACATAAACATAACATAACATAAAAGTTTACTGAAAATTAACCAATGGAAATCAGAAATTGCATTTAAATTGTGGTTCAACAAAATCTTTCATAAAAACTATGATTAGTAAACTAGTAAAAAGGGCCTGGGCAAAAGTGATGGCACCGCTTGAAAAGATAGAAATCAATTTCACCATAGGAACATGTTAAACTAAGGTCTGTCCACTATTAGTACTCCAGTTGTCATTAAACCTATAATCAGTCAGTCTACCCATTAAAAGGCTGACACGTAGTCATTGTGCTAAAGTGAAGATCAATAATGGGAAGGGAAGGAGATTGGGAAATAAAAATATAGACCACCATGTTAAAGGTAAAGACTAGAAGAATCTTTCCAAGCAGCTTGGTGCTCATCTGACTACAGTTGTATATATTATTCAGAAGTTTAAGGTCTACAGGATTGGAGCCAACCTCCCTAACCTTGGTCACAAGAGGAAAATTGAAGTGAAGAGAAGGATAATAGGAAAACAGCCCAGAACAATCTCCAAAAACATCAAATGTAAACTTCAAGATGTAACACATCAGTGCAGTCAGAAATCATCTGACTGCAGTGGTTGCCTCAAAGGGTCGCAGAACAAAATATTAAGCTACAGGTACCGTCATTTTTTTACGAGTTTTTTTTTTTTTTTTTTTATGAATCTGTTGAACAATAAAGACTGTTGCTAAATCTGCTGCCAACATCAGAAAAAAAACATTTCTATATGAAAGGTTTTCCTCACAGAAAAACTGGTGCATATTTATAATTATTATGTTAACACTCTATAAAAATGAATCAGTACCTCAGCAATTTTATCAGCTAAAATTATTCTATCTAATTTTAGCTTTCTGACTGTACAAGGATAAATGTTAAAATGTTGTTGATGGTCTATAGAAGGCCATTTCAATGCTGGCATGTGGGATCTCAGTCTTGTAGTCATGGTCCATATGTTATGGTCACTTATAACGAGATGCTAAAATACCTGAACTCTCCTGTTTGAGGTGAAGGCTTAACCCTGATCTAGATAAAGCAATTCAACTCCTTCCATTTTAGATTACAGAGTTAGACTCAGGACACCAGGCTACTTCCCATTTAGATGTGGACTGAACACATCCAAGGTCCTCAACTCAGTTCACTACATAATGTGTAAAAACAAAGATGAGACTGAGGCTTCCAAACCAGATGCTCTTCTATCCCTGGAACAACACGAGCAGTAACAGCCTATGTGATGTCTCTTTAAGACAGCCTAAGCTGAACCTGGTGATGTTATTTGTATGTGTCACTACTCCGCTGTCGAGAGTGTAGGAGAAAAGTGCTCCAGATGGGCTCATGGTCTGAGACTGACCTTTACATTTTATCTTCCTAACTCTGAGTGACGTTACAGACTGTTTGGACTCTGCTTATTTCATGTCTGACAATTCAGAAGCCATTCAACCAGGCTTTTTAAGGTTGCTGAAGAGTGTGTTAAAGGACAAATGTGTTTATTAAAGGACAAATACTGAGGAATTCCTACTGCCAGTGTGGTTGTGAGTTTTTGACTGTCCTGATGATTGTCTGCTTCCTCCTCACCACCACTGAACATAACCCAAGAGTTGCAATTACCTGACGGGATCCTCGGGGGAATACAACATTCACTGAGAACAAGCTCCACTAGAATGTGAACTCAGTTCTTGCTTTGGGATCAAATCAAGGACCAGGTAGTGCTTTAAAGCCACCTAGTATTCCATACTCCCTCAACAATCCACATAGAATACCTTAAGGGACATGGTCACAAAGATTTTCTAGATACATACAACACATGTAGACCACACTATCCAACCTCATAGCCTTAAACATTCAAATAAACTTGCACTGCCTTCACAAAGAGATCAGTTGCACAACACTCACGTTTGGCCTTGTATGTGATGACCTGGCTGTCTCTATGATCTTTCCTCCTGTTTTGGCATTTGATTGGACATGACAGCATCAAAATTAGCGCAAAAATCTTCACAAGCTCTAGCACATTCATTGTAGAGTGAGCTGCAGAGAGAGAGAAATGTAGAGATGTATTTAGTGAGAATCGGTGGCAGGTAGTAAACCTGTAGTAATTTGATGTGGACACATGAGGGAGATGTAAGTATCCAGACTGAACACAGATTTACCGCTGGATATAATTTCAGTCCCTGATAGTTATCCTACACTGTATTTTTCTATGAAACTATAGACTTTATGCTCACTTTTTCCATAGTGCTACAACAGTGAATTCAAAGCTACGTATTTCAGTGCATTCACATTTACAGAATTTGCTTCTGGTCTTGTTTTTTATGAAACAGCTAAATTGCTTTGATATTATTTTATGATGCATAATTATGTAGTCTTCTTGCCCTCTATCACAACCAGAATTCCCAATAGCACTGTTACTCCTACCACAAATGTATCTCTCCTATTGTTATTATTTGATTATTACATGAATTATTGCGTCTGCTTTGTGGAAAATAGTTCCTCTCCATGCGCGGCTGTGCTTTCTAGTAATTTCTCTCTTGTTCTCTGTGTTAGCCTTGCTTATACATTCTTATAAAAGTAAAAATAAAATTAAATAAATAAAAGTGTCTTGTTTTTTACAACAGTGCAATAAAAATGTTCTACTGCAAATATAGAACATGAAATGGTATTAACAAAAGTGATAGAAAATAAATGCACTTTTACCTGTTTGTTCATAAAAAGAAGCACCAGGTTAATCCATGAGTGAGATGAAGCAGCAGTTCTGCCTGGAGGGACAAGGAGCAGTGACTGGGTAAAACCTGGATTCAGGACGAACCAGAGGCAAGACTCACAGCTACTTCCTGTTGTTGCCTTCACAATAAAGCTTTAGTACTTCATTTATTTGTGTTAATTTAAAATTTAATTTACAGCAAGTTATTTATTTCAACATTAAGCTGCATTTCTTTATATATATATATATATATATATATATATATATATGTGTGTGTGTGTGTGTGTTTGTATGCTCAGACTTACACAGACCTTTTTCTTTCTTAAAAAAAAAAAGTAATAAAAAAAGATATGTAGCTTACAATGTTGATCTTATTAAGAGCCACTGGTCAGTTAGGCTCACTGTGTGAACAAATCACACACTGTGTGAGGGGGGATAGGATAACTCCTGTCACAATCCAATCTAATAATGAGTGGATCAAGTTATGGCTGCTTTTTAGATCCAGATTCTGAAAACAGGGAGAGAAGGATGGGAGATGAGACTGTACAGGAAGAATTCATGGCAAGACAAGAATCATGTCTGTCACAGTAGCTGTCAAACTACACAAGGTTTTCAGGAAATTAAGAACATGGACTGATTATTTTTTAGATTGTACTAAAACATACAACTAAAAACATTCAAGAACAGCTCAGAGCAAAATCATGGACTGAGTTTCTAAGTTCTCTGTGTGTAGAGCTTCTGCTCTTGCTCTGCACATGCTTGTGAGGTTTTAGGAAGCAGGTTATCTGAGGTCAACATCTATCTCCTTCATGTCTTTATTCCTCTGCTTGACCACTACTTGGAAATGGTGTGTATTCAAGGAAGGGCTTTCTACAGATTTAGGCCTCATTGAATAGGATAAAACAATTGATGATCGGAAATAAACCAAACACAAACATATATTAGTAGTCTCTCTAACCGGGTTCACTTCTAAATTAAGTTACCGAAAATAACTATTTTTGGACATATGAGGTCTTGAAAACTAATTCCCCTCTTTACAGATTTTTGTTCAAACTCAGATTTACTAGCCTAAAACCCATCTGATAACCCAGGGTGGGCTAAAAGATCTCAGAAAACAACATGTGCACCAATGGAAAGACAGACCAGAGAAAACTAAAGAGAATGTAACGTTGTGTTAATCCATTTGAGGAGCCCGCAGTTTATCTTGAGGA